GCTACCTCTCCTTCTTCCCGTGCTGGGTGAGTGATGTCCCTTTCTGTCTGCCTGTCTGTCTGTCTTCTCCTGTTACCCACCTCCCCCATTCTCCCCAGCATCCCATCTCGTGTGTACTTGGAGGTCTCATCAACTCTTTTCTCTCTTTCAGCCTCCCTCCTTCCCCGGCCGGTGTTCCCTGCAGGTAATGCTGATGCCTGTCCTCGCTGAGATGCCACTGCTGGGGGTGGGATTGTCTTGGGAGCCGGGGTGGGGTATTTCCCCCCATTGAAGCTGTGGGATGTGGAAATGCAGGTGGGGGGTATCTGAGTCCGGAGGTCTCCAACTCCCTCTTTGCTCCTTATGCCTGGCCAGCCCCAGTTCATTCTGACCTAACACCGTTCCCATCCCAGAGCGGGTGAGGTGAGTTGGGTGGGTCTCAGGTCCCAGCAGAGAAGCTACAAAAGTCAAGTGCCCCTCTTCCCTCTTCAGAGGAGGGAGCCATACATTGGCAGGGGGAGGGTTGTGTGTACGTGGGTGGAGAGGAACTCAGGGCTAATGATGATAAGCTCAGTTTTGGGAACAGCTGAGCCAGCACTTTTCCCTGGTGGATGAAACTGCACATTGTGAACGCTTCCGCTCAGAGAGGAAATGGCCTGACCCCACACCTCCCTGGATTTCCCAACTCCTCTTTCTCTTGTACCCCTTCACGTCATGGGGCAACCCTGAGGGGAGCTGATGCAGGGATGGCCCCCCTCCAATCTCCCAAGGGGGAGAGATTGTGTAGTGTTCACCTCAGCCCTGTCACACGCAGGGCAGCTGCCCCTTCTCACAGCGAGGGGCTCAGGCTCTGGGCAGACTCCGGAAGGTCACACTCAAGTTACCACCTTGAGATTTCCTCCTTCATCACAATTGCTGGAAGCTAACTGTTTATAACCAACGCTGAGATTCTGCTTGAATCCCATGACTCCAGAAGCCAAAGCCCTAAGAGAAGGGCTGTGATACCAGAGCCTCCAGCTGATCCTTCCCATGTTGGAGGGGTGGGTGCAGGGTCTGTGTGGTTATGAGTTGGTGCTAATGGAACCTTGGTTCCCCAGCTAAACACCCAGCCCCAGCCTTCTCCGTGCATCCCCAGAAGGTTGAATACCTGCTTGGAGACACCGTGGGCCTCACATGCTCTGCTCCCCCTGCGAGGGATCAGGTGTCGGTATTCCAATACTACAGCAATATGGGATGGGCTGTTTCAGCCAGGGTGTCCTCCGGGTGGAAACACACCTACAACCTCAACATCACGGAGCCGCGGAATGCGGGTTCGTACAGCTGTAACTATTACACGGGCAAGAGTGGTCGTTTCATCCAGTCCTATGAGAGCAACCATATCAGCATCAGCGTCAAAGGTGAGGTCTGTCTGTCTGTCTATCTATCCCTATCTATCTATCTAACAATCTATGGTGGCAAGTCACCCCTTTTGCCTTGCCAGACTTAGTGCTCCCTCCTCTGGCAGGGACAGGGCCTAGCATAAATCAGCCCCACTCTGGGGTGCGTCTGTCTTCCCTCTTCAGGGTTTGTTTCTCAGAGCCTTCCCGATAGGCCTCGGGGCCAGCCTGAGGAGTGCTCCTCTGCCAGACAAAGGGAAACAAGTCTCTAACGCATGGAAGCAAAAGGGGAAATACCTTTCCCTGGCCCCCTCGCTGTGGTAGGTGTTGTCCTGTCCCTGGCCCCAGGGTGTCAGTCCTTCCCCTAAACAGGCACTGGGTTTGGGTGTCTCCCCTATGGGGTGGGGCGCAGTCTCTCACACTGGAGAAGCCGATCTCCCTGCCACCACCAGCCTTGCAGCAGTTTGTCTTCTCCCCCTCCCTGGAGAGAGGTTTTAACAGGTTTCAGGCAGCCCTTATTTGGACTCGGGTGTCCCTAATTGCCCTGAAGTATCCCCTTTCCAGCTTGTAGGAAGAAGGGTCTTTAGCATTCTAGGGCTAACATACCTGTTTTCCCAGCCCCTCCTGCAGCCGTCTGGCCTGAGTTTTTCACCTATCTACAGCAGGGGTCTCAAACTCCATTTACCTTAGGGCCAGTGCCTGTCCTCAAATCCTCCCAGCAGGCCAATAATGTCACTCATGCCGCCCAAAACTCTGCCCCCTACCTGCCTAAGGCTCTGGGAGGGAGTTTGGGTGTAGAAGGGCTGAGAGGTTGGGCTCTGGGAGGGAGTTAGGGTGGGGGAGGGGGTCTGGGCTGCAGACTCTGGGATGGAGTTTGGGTGCTGGGTGCAGGCTCAGGGCTGGGGCAGGGGATGGGGGTGCAGGAGGAGGGGGTGGGGTTGCAGGC